ACTTGAACCTCATTCCTCCATTGGGCGGAAGACAGCTTGAAGAGCATGTGTACGTGCTGAGCTGCAACGGAGATACCATGAAACCTTCCAAGAGGATCAACACGCACACTGAACCCTGCCCAAACTCCGCCCCATGTGTATATTCAACCAGTGCACTCCCTACCCCATAAAGGAGGCAGCTCCAGTTTCAGTGGGGGCAGCAGCAGCAGTGATGCTAGCAGATTCTGCACATGGAGTGAGGCTGCCCACATTCACCTCTGTGTGTGTCACCTCTTTTAATAAATCCTGTTCTGTGTCTCTACTTTGAATCCTTCTGTCATGCTGAGACAAGGACTTGGAGTAAATTCAGCTGGGGACACCCCATCACATAGCACGGGCACCCCTGAGAATGAGCTGGTGTGTGCGCAGGGCCTGAGGCAGATTCTTCAAGGGTGGGTGAATTTCTGATTGCACAGGTGCAGTAGGGGCACACGCTCTGACATAGATTACGTGTGTCATTAGCATCTTCGGTCTCCTCCCAGGGGTATGTTTTTTACGATTATCATGAAGCAAAGGTTGGTCAGTGGATAAGATGACCACTTGGGAGTAATGGCACCTTATGGGCACTGTGGTGTAATGGCACCATATGGGTGCTGGTTCGAGTCCCAGCTGTTTCACTTCTGATCCAGCTCTCTGCTATGGCCTGGGAATGCAGTGGAGGATGGCCCAAGTCCTTGGGCCCCTGCACCCACGTGGGAGACTGGAAAAACTCCTGGCTTTGGATTGGCACAGCTCTGGCCATTGTGGCCATTTGGGGAGTGAACCAATGGCTCTCTCTCTCTCTCTCCCTTTCAAATAAATAAATAAATCTTAAAAAAAATTTACAACCACACTTGATCTGGTAAAACCAGTTTTTGCTGGTCTGCTCCATCCACGGAGGGGGCTTGGGTCTGACTGCTTAATCACTGTTGGTCTGTCAAGAGATATCTGTGACGTCATTAATGAGGTCGCCTGCCCTAGGCCTGTTTCTTCTCTGTCTTGCCTCACTAAGCCAGCTATGGTTCCCGCTCCAATAGCTCAAGTAAAATTAACAATACCTAAATATTATGACATAAAGTTGATAATTTATGTTCTATAAGGGAACAAGAACTTATGTATGCAAGAGTACACACACACACACACACACACACAAACATATTCATAAGTAAACAAGGAAGAAACACTCATGGTGGGGCCGGCGCTGTGGCGTAGCAGGTTAAGCCGCCGCCTGCAGTGCTGGCATCCCATATGAGCGCTGGTTTGAGTCCAGGCTGCTCCAGTTCTGATCCAGCTCTCTGCTAATGTGCCTGGGAAGGCAGTGGAAGATGGCTCAAGTAGCTGGATCCCTGCATCCACATGGGAGATCCAGATGAAGCTCCTGGCTCCTGGCTTCAGCCTCGCTCAGCCTTGATTGTTGCAGCTACTTGGGGAAGTGAACCAGTGGATAGTAGAAGATTCTCTTTCTCTCTCTTTCTCTCTCAAGATTTTATTTATTTATTTGAAAGACAGAGTTACACACAGAGAGAAGGAGAGACAGAGAGAGAGAGAGAGGTCTTCCATTCACTGGTTCACTTCCCAATTGGCTGCAACAGCTGAAGCTGCGCCAATCCAAAGCCAAGAGCTAGGAACCAGGAGCCAGGAGTTTCCTCCAGGTCTCCCACGTGGGTGCAGGGGCCCAAGGACTTGGACCATCTTCTACCACTTTCTCAGGCCATAGCAGAGAGCTGGATCAGAAGTGGAGCAGCCGGGACTAGAACTGCACCCATATGGGATGCTGGCACTGCAGGTGGTGGCTTTACCTGCTACACCACAATGCAGGCCCCGCTCAGCTCTCTTTGATAGTCAGGATCACCCACACTGACCAGCACAATCACTCCTTTCTTTGGCTGTTGATGCAGAGGCGTTAGTAAAGGGGCCCTGTGTCAGGCTCAGCTTCCAGTTCAGTGCAGTCATTGCTGTGCCTCCTACTGGAAGTATTTTACTCTTTGGAATTAAGACTTCGACGCCAGCAGGGCATGAGACTGGGGAACAGAAAACATAAATTTTACTAGTGGATCACTAGGGATAATTGAGACCAAGTCCCTGTAATGCAAAAGGGGCACCTAGTGTGTCTCATCTGTCTGCCTTAGCTCAAGGTTTATCTGTGCATTGGGTAAGTGGACCCAGGTTTGGGGATTCTGTAGCAACACTTGAAACAAGTCTGGGAGATTGTTCTCAACATAATGGGAGCAGTGTCACTTCCATTCTACCTGCTTGATTCCTGGATCCTGGCTGTGGGAGGATTAGCTCTGAGTCAGAGCACCTTCTGAAAGACCCTGCCCATGGTGCTGGCACTGTTACTTGGGGCTTTAAAAGATCAGCCTGGGGCTGGTAAAGCCGCCACCTGTGGTGTTGGCATCCCATATGGGCTCCAGTTCAAGTCCCAGCTGCTCTACTTCCTATCCAGCTCTCTGCTATGGCCTGGGAAAGCAGTAGAAGATGGCCCAAGTCCTTGGGCCCCTGAACCCACTTGGGAGACCCAGAAGAAGCTCCTGGCTCCTGGCTTCAGATCGGTGCAGCTCCAGCTGTTGCAATCAATTGGTGGATGAACCAGCAGATGGAAGACCTCTCTCTCTCTCTCTCACTCTCTCTCTCTCCTTCTCTCTCTGTGTAACTCTGACTTTCAAATAAATAAATCTTAAAAAAAAAAAAAGATCATCCTGCTGTTTTATCATGCTATCTACTTCAGCCTGATGAAGAACATAGTCAGACCAATGAATTCTGTAGGCACGGGCCCACGGTCACACTTCACTTGCCGCACAGTGAGTTCCTTGATCAAAAGCAATGTTGCGTGGAATACTGTGAGGGCGGATGAGGCAAGCCATGAGTCCACGGGTGGCAGTTTTGGCAGAAGCATTGTGCACAGGGAAGACAAATCTGGATTTGTTCTTTTCCTTGTTTATTTGCCATTTGCACATCCTCTTTTGTGTATATCTGTTCGTGTTTCTTGCCTGCTTTTATATCAGATTGTATGCCCTTTGTTTATTTTTATTTTTATTTTCATCTACTTGAAAGGCAGAGTGACAGAGTGACGGGGGAAAGAGAGGGAGATAGAGATGGGCGGGGGGGAGGGCTTCCATCTGCTGATTCACTTCCAAACATCTGCAACAGCCAGGACTAGGTCAAGTTGAACCCAGGAGCCTGAAATTCCATCTGAGTCTCTTTTTGTTTGGACTAACAAAATATCTTAGAAATGTAAAGTAATCTTTTTGTAGACTTGCTATTTGTTTTGTGCACCGTTTAAGAAGTCTTCTGGGGTCATCATTGTCACACATCTGGTTAAGCCACCACCCAGGACACTGGCACCCCATAAGAGTAACAGTTCAAGCCCCAGCTGTTCCATTTCCAATTCAGCTCCCTGCTAACAGCTGAAGATGGCCCTAGTGCTTGGACCCCTGCACCCACAAGGGAGACCCAGCTGGAGTTCTAGGCCACTGGTTCTGCCTGGTCCAGCTCTGACCATTGCAGCTATTTGGGGAGTGCACTAGCAAATGGAAGATCTCTCTCTCTCTCTCAGTCTTTCAAATAAATGAATAAATATTTTTAAAAAATAAACAGGTGAATTAGATACAAATGTAAAAGGAAAAACTATTTTTAAAAAAACCTTGAGAAAATAAGTTTGGAGCCTATTTTCCTGATGCATTAGCAGAGATCTGGATGGAAAGCAGAGCAACCAAGACTGGAATCCATGCTCATACGAGATGTGATGACGACACAGGTGGCAGCTTAACCCGCTGTGCCACAACACCACTCCTGAAGTTGATTTTTTTTTATTTACTTATTTGAAAGGCAGAGTTACAGAGAGGCAGAGGGAGAGAGAGAGAGAGAGAGAGAGAGAGAGAGAGAGAGAGAGAGAAAGGTCTTTCATCCACTGGTTCATTCCCCAGATGGCAACAGCTGGAACTGGGCTGATCCGAAGCCAGGAGCCTGGAGCTTCTCTCATGTGGGTGCAGAGGCCCAAGCACTTGGGCCATCTTCCACCTCTTTCTCAGGCCATAGCAGAGAGCTGAATTGGAACTGGAGCAGCCGGGACTCGAACTGGTGCCCATATGGAATGCCGGCACTGCAGGTGGTGGCTTTACCTACTACATCACAGCACCAGCCCCCTGCAGTTGGTTTTTAAAAATGTACTTATTTATTCATTCATTTGAGAGACAGAGACACACAGAAACAGACAGAATGATAGAAGAGAACTCCTACCTCCTAGTTCACTCCCTGAAATGGCCCCTGTGGCCAGGGGCTGGACCAGGCTGAATCCAGGAGCCAGGAACTCAATTCTCATCTGAGTGGCAGGAACATATCTACTTGAGCCATCACTGCTACCTCCCAGAGTCTGTGCTGGCAGGAAGCTGGAGTCATGATGAAGCAGGATCTTGAACAGGAACTGAGTATTGAACGTAGGCAGTTGATGTGGAATGCAGATACATTAACCAGTGTCTTGACCCTTAGGCCAATTTTATACATGCCTTGGGGATATTTCCTCACTGCCATGCAGGCCTGGGTCTGTGTTGGGTGCTTTATTCTATTCTGATGACCAATCTATCTGTCCTGTACCAATACTGCTCTGTGTTAATTATCATAGATTTGTTATAAAGTGTTGGTATGTGCTAAACAAAGAACTTACATTGTGTTCTTCTTGAAGGGAGACTTGGTTATTCTTGGCCTTTTGGATTTCTATATAAATTCATGAATCAGCTGTCAGTGTTCAGGCTGCAGGGATTTTGTGGGAATTGCACCAAATCTCTAGATAAGTTTGGAGAGAATTATCATCTTTGTAAGAACGAGTCTTCTAATTTGTGTGAATATGCTATTCTACTTATTTATGTTTTTCTTTGATTTCTCTTAAAATTGTATGTTTTCATCCACAAGTGTAAACATATTTTGTTAGAATTATTATTAGATATTTGATATTTTATTCCAATGAAAATGCCATCTTTTCTTTTTAAAGATTTATTTATTTATTTGAAAGGCAGGGTTACAGAGAGGCATTGACAGAGAGAGACAGAGAGAGAGAGATCTTCTATCTGCTGGTTCACTCCCCAAGTGGCTACAATGGCCAGAGCTGGGCTGATCTGAAGCCAGGAGCCAGGAGCTTATTCTGGATCTCCTATGCGGGTGCAGGAGCCCAAGTACTTGGGCCATCTTCTACTACTTTCCCAAGGCATAGCAGAGAGAAGGATTGGAAGTGGAGCAGCCATGACTCGAACTGGTGCACATATGGGATGCTGGCGTCACAGATGGCAGCTTTACCGGCTACACCACAGCACCAGTCCAGAAAATACCATCTTTTCAAATTTTTTTTGTTTGTTACTGACATACAAGAACAAAATTGACTTTTTGGAAGTTAATCTTGTCTTTAGCAATACCCCTAAACTCACTTATCACCTCTTCCTAAAAAAGCTAATTGACCTGTTTTGAAAGGCAGAGTAACAGAGAGAGACAGAGAAAGATCTTCCATCTGCTGGTTCATCTCCCAAATGGCTGCAATGGCTGGGGCTGGGCCAGGCCTAAGCCAGGAGCCTGGAACTCCATCCAGGTCCTCCACGTAGGGGTGTATTTGGGCCACTTTCTGCTGCTTTCCCAGGCACATTAGCAGGGAGCTGGATTAGAAGTGGAACAGCCAGGACTTGAACTGGTGCTCCCATTTGGGTTGCTGGTTTCAGACAAAGCTGCTTAACCCCCATTCCACTTAGTAATTCTTGCACTCTATTTATAGATTTCTCTAGATTTTCTATATCACAATTGTATCATCTGTGAATAATAGCATGTTTGCTTTTGCTTTTTCTCAAATCTTGTATTCCTTTGTCTTGCTTTCCTATGCTGGTTAGGACATTCAGGTCCTAATAGTAAACAGTGTCAGTAGGGCTGGGCAAATGGTTGGGGGCGATTTGATTCAAATGTTTCAGCCTTTCCCCGCTAAGCATCATGTTTGCTCACAGGAATTTCAAAGTTACTTTTTATCGAATTAAAAAAGCTTTCACTCCTTGATTTACTAGGAAAATCAATCAGCAGGCACAATGAATCAACATTGGATTTAATCCAACACCTTTCTGTATCTATTTCTCTGAAGTGCCCCTTCATCATAACCAAGAGTCCATATACATGAACAAAATAATTGGGATTTTTCTCACATGTTTGGTTAATACAGTGAATTACACTAATTTTCAAATGGTAAAATAACTTTCCATTTTGGGAATGAGGTAAAGGTATTATGCTATATTATCCTTTCCGTAAATGGATAGGTACTGTTGGCTTACATATTGTTTATAGTTTTTGTGTCTGTAACCAGGAGCGTAATCTTCCATTTATGTAATGTTTTATCAGGTTTTGGTATCAAAACTGCACTTGCCCTAAAAGTGAGTGGAAGAGAGCAGTCTTTGTTTCTATTATTTGGGAAAATTTATGATAACTTGGCGTTATTTCTTATTTGAAAGTGTGGTAGAATTTCACTGGTGCCACCTCTGGACCCAGAACCTGGGTTGTGGTGATTATTTTTAAGTTACAGCTTTATCGAAACACAATTCACATTTAAAATGCACAGCTCAGTGGGTTTTGGTATATTCATAGCATTGGCCAAACAGCACTGCATGCAATCCATTTTAGAATATTTTTACTACTCCATAAAGAAGCCCCACACCATTATAACTGAATTCCATTATGCAGGAATCACAGATTCATTTAATTACAAGGTTTTTTTTTTTTTTTTTTTTTTTTTCTTCCTTCCATTGTGGTCAAACCCAAGTGACCACAGTAGGGGATAAGCTCTCTGCCACTCTTGCTGCAGGGACTCAGTGTCACTAATGAGATGCTGCCTGTGGCATTGTGTTGGGTACAGGGACACACAGAAAAGAGGAGTGAATGGGGACACTGAGCTCTGGACTCTGCAGATCCCTGAAACTCCAGCCCCCCTACGCAGGAGGCAGGAACCCAAGCACTTGGGCCATTATCCACTGCCTCTCCGGTATGTACATTACCAGGAAGCTGGATCGAGGGCGGGGTGGCCAGAACTCGAACCAGTCACTCCAATGCGGGATGCGGGTGTCCCAGGTAGGGGCTGCATCTGCTGCGCCCATCGCGGGCCCCAACAACTGCATTTTTGAGCGCTGGCTCTTTGAAGTGCTGCGTATGCATTACCTCATTGGATTCTTACACTAACCCCGTGAAGTGGGTGCTACTATTATTTTTATCTCACAGGCGAAAAAAGTGATGCCTAGCGAGGGTTAAGCGATTCACTCCAGGGTATACAGCACCTGGACAACGCCCCTTGGGAGGGGCCGGTCAGTTCGGAGGACTGCATCTTGAGTCCTGGCGAGGAAGCCCAGCGATTCCCGGCCACCCCGGCTGTTTGCCATGAGCGTTTCCCTTGCGCCTCTCCGGTACCTCTCTCTTCTCAGCGCGGCGATGGATGCAGAGGTCCCCCGTTGCCATGGTGATGTGAGGAGGCTGGCGCGCCGCACGCCGAGTGTAGGCGATGCTGAGAACCGGCTGGGGATCCAGCATCGGACCGCGAGAAAAGAGATCGATGGGAAAGCCAGTCTGAAAAAGCCTGGCCTCCCGGGAGCTCCAGAGGGACCTCCACCCCTCCGCGTCCCCCTTCAGCCCCTGAGCTCCTAATCGGGGAGTGGAAGACCAGGCCTGACCGTGGACTGGGAGGCCGGTCCACTGCGGACGCCGGGCGGCTGCGCCCCGCCCTCCGTCTGCGAACCACCAGGGGCTCCGCCGCTGGTGCAGAGGAGCGAGGGGCAGCCAGCAGGGGGCAGAGTCGCTCTCGGGAAAAGCGTCCCTCTGTGCCCCCCAACCCCCCTTCTTCTCCGCGGCTGCCCCAGCCATCCCTACCTGCTTTCACCAAGAATATTTTCAGCAGCCAGGCGCCCGAGGTGGATTTCAAGCCAGAAGATGGCTTCGGGCAGAAGCTGGGAGCCGCGGAAGCCTGGGTCTCAAGCTGGGGGCGTGGGGGGGAGGGTGGGGGGTGGAGAGGGCACAGGGTCAGGGGCTGAAGCCAGGGGCCCCGCCCCAGCAAAGGCTTCTTCTGAGGGTTTTCTTGACCCAAGGAAAACATTAAAAGCATCCGAACCCTGAAGAGGAGCCATAATCATAAACTCAATAACTGTGGGATACCAACTACCACAGTCACAACGGATGCACCCAATCAGAAACAAGCGTGTATGGGATGTCTACACAGTGGTCCACAAGCTTTTCCCCGAGCGGGGGAGGGGTGTCACCTATCCTTTGCGATTATATGAAAAAATTCAGACTTCCACCCAGAAAGATGCACTAGCAGCCCCCAAACATTTTTTGCACCCATTGGCCCCAAGGCTTGAACTTCCTGCTCTCCCATGGGCCAGTCTTTGGTGCTGGGCGCTGGGGCTATAATAACGAATGAGATCATCGTGACCCCCACGCAGAGGAGCTTAACAGGCTGGTGGCAGGCATAGGCAGGTAAGAGATGCTTAAAACACAGGAGAGGGCCAGTGCTGTGGAGCAGTAAGTTAATCCTCTGCCTTCAGTGCCGGCATCCCATATTGATGCAGGTTTGAGTCCCGGCTGCTCCACTTCCGATCCAGCTTTCTGCTGTGGCCTGGAAAGCAGTGGAAGATGACCCAAGTCCTTGTGCCCCAGCACCCATGTGGGAGACCTTAAAGAAGATCCTGACTCCTGGATTCGGATTGGCCCACCTCTAGCCATTTTGGCCATTTGGGGATTGAACCAGTGGATTGGAAGACCTTTCTCTCTTTCTTTCTCACTACCTATAATTCTGTCAAATAAATTAATAAAAATCTTAAAAAAAAAAAAAAACGGCTAAAACCACAGCAGAGCAGGGGCTGGCACTGTGGTGTAGTAGGTAAAGCCAGGGCCTGCAGCGCCAGCATCCATATGGGCACTGGGCTCCCTCAAGGACACACAGAAGAAAGCTCGTGGTTGTGATGTGAAAGTGCAGGTTCCACGCTGGGGATGAGCACAGGGTAGAATGGAGCTGGCAGGAGGGGCATCAATCCCAACCTTGGGGATCAAGCCCAGGGCCCAAGATAGGGTTGGGGAGCTGTGGATCAGTGGTACCTTCACTGTATATTCAGATACCCTCTGCCTCTGACCACAGCTGGAAGGGAAAGGGCAGCATGCGCTCACCTGCTGTAGCCTCCCATGAGGAAAAGCTGATCTCAGGGTAAATTCAGCTCTGCCTACATCTTTTTTTTTTTTATTTTCTTTCAATTTATGTATTTGAAAGGCAGGGAGAGAGACAGAGAGAGAGTTAGATAGAGATCTTGCATCCACTGGTTCACTCCCCAAATGCCTGCAACAGCCAGAGCCCCAGAGCTTGGAACCAGGTAGATGGCAGGAACCCAATTATTTGAGCTAGCCCAAGCTCCTTTATCAGCATCATCCGGCTTGCTTTTCTTTCTTTTTAAAGATTTATTTATTTATTTGAAAGTCAGAGTTACACACAGAGAGGAGGGGGGGAGAGAGAGAGAGAGAGAGAGAGAGAGAGATCTTCTTCAGCTGGTTCACTCCCCAATTGGCCGCAACATCCGGAGCTGTGCAGATCCAAAGCCAGGAACCAGGAGCTTCCTCTGGGTCTCCCACTTGGGTGCAGGGGTCCAAGCACTTGGGCCATCTTCTACTACTTTCCCAGGCCATAGCAGAGAGCTGGATCAGAAGTGGAGCAGCTAGGACTTGAACCGGCGCCCATGTGGGATGCCGGCACTGCAGGTGGCGGCTTTACCCGCTACACCACAGTACCCCCCCCCCATGCTTGCTTTTCTTCCCTCACTCACAGTTGCCCCGTCACACAGTTCTTTCCCGCCCTAGGTCTGTCTTACCTGCTGTTGCCTCTGCCCTGAAACATCACCCCCACAACAACACACTATAACTGACCTCCTCGCACTCTGTAATCACTGCCAGTTCTTTGGGGACGCCTTTTAGGCTCCATCCCTTTATTAGATTCTTTCTGCAACTCCCTCATAACATGCCCTACCATTTTTTTTTTTTTTTGACAGGCAGAGTGGACAGTGAGAGAGAGAGACATAGAGAAAGGTCTCCTATTTACGTTGGTTCACCCTCCAATAGCTGCCGTGGCCGGCGCGCTGCGACCGGCACACTGCGCTGATCCGATGGCAGGAGCCAGGTGCTTCCTCCTGGTCTCCCATGGGGTGCAGGGCCCAAGGACTTGGGCCATCCTCCACTGCACTCCCTGGCCACAGCAGAGAGCTAGCCTGGAAGAGGGGCAACTGGGACAGAATCCAGCGCCCCGACCGGGACTAGAACCCGGTGTGCCGGCGCCGCAAGGCGGAGGATTAGCCTAGTGAGCCGCGGCGCCGGCCCTACCATTTTCTTTTATAAACCGTATTACAATTTGCAGTCAACTGTTTAGTTGTGCTTATTCATTTAATGTGTAATCCTCACCATACACTCGGGAGGGCAAGGACCCCATCTTGTTCTCTGCTGTGAACTTTGCTCTCTGCATAGTGCTGGGCACACGGAGATACACTATAACATTTGACCAAATGGGTACGGAACTTAGAGGAGTCTCAGAGTTCTGCTGGTCCATAGTTCTTTCCCTCGACCACACGAGCAGTAAGCAGTCATATTCCTTCTTCTTGCTTACTACCAGCAACAGGGAGCTCACTACTTCACCAAGAAAGGCATGAACGCAGGCACACGCACAAACCCCTATACTCACACAGCACTTCCATGTGCTGGATCATTCCCCAAAGGCCCCCAACAGCAGGGCTGCCCTGGGGCCAAAGAGAACTCTGTCCAGGTCTCCCACATGGGTGGCAGGGACTCAGTCAGCTGAGCCATCACTGCTGCTTCCCAGAGTGAACACAAGAAGAAGCTAAAATGGACAGTAGCGCTGTCCCCAGCACCTAACACCCGCCTCTGCAGGAACTGCTTAGATGGCACAGAGAAAGCTTGCGGGTGGAGGGGGTGAGTGTGAAGCTGTCTCCAACCGTTCAAGAAGGCAGCTCCACGGGCTGGTGTGCAACGCAATAGGCCAAGCCAGCGCCTGCAATGCTGGAATCCCATATGGGTGCTGAGTCCCAGTTGCTCCACTTCTGAGCCAACCAACCCCCTGCAGCAAAGATGGCCCCAAGTATCTGGGCCCCTGCCACCCACATGGGAGATCCAGAGGGAACTGCATGTTCCTGGCTTTGGCTTGGCCAGCCCAGACCATTGCAGCCATCTGGGGAGTGAACCAGCAGTTGGAAGATCTCTCTCTTTGTCTCTGTCTGTTTCTCCCTCTCCCTGTAACTCTGCCTTTCGAATAAATTAATTAATTTTAAACAAACAAACAAATAAAAAATGCATCTCCGGAGGGCCAACAAGGACTTGGAGATGACAGCGCACCAGACTTTTCTTTGAAAAATCACTGCCTTTGGTCAGCACCCATATTTATGACATCATCAGTCTCCTTGGCACTCTAGTAACTGGAATACAGATCCAGCCATATGTGGGAGGAGAAAGCAAGAAAAAAAAGCTTTGGGGCCCATGCTGTGGTGCAGTAGGTTAACCCTCTGCCTGTAGCACTGGCATCCAACACAGGAGCCTGTTTGAGTCCCAGCTGCTCCGTTTCTGATCCAGCTCCCTGCTAATGTACCTGGGAAAGCAGAAGGTAATGGCCCAAGACCTTGGGCCCCTTTATCCACATGGGAGACCCAGAGGAAGCTCCTGGTTCCTGACTTTGGATCAGCCCAGCTCTGGCCATTGTGGCCATCTGGGGAATGAACCAGTGGATGGGAGACCTTTCTCTCTCTCTCCCCTTCTATCTTTCTATAACTCTATCTCTCAAATAAATAAATAAATCTTAAAAGAAAAGAAAGCTGTGCTTCTCTCCTAACATGTAAACACAGGCATTTTTCTTTTCTTTTTTTTTTAAAGATTTATTTATTTATTTGAAAGGCACAGTTACAGAGAGGTGGAGGGAGGGAGGGAGGGAGAGAGAGAGAGAGGAAGTCTTCCATCCGTGGTTCACTCCCCAGATGGCTGCAATGGCCAGAGCTGGGCCGATCCAAAGCCAGGAGCCAGGAGCTTCTTCCGGGTCTCCCACATGGGTGCAGGAGCCCAAAGACTTGGGCCATCTTCTACTGCTTTCCCAGGCCACAGCAGAGAGCTGGTTTGGAAGTAGGGTAGCCAGATCTCCAACCGATGCCATATGGGATGCCGTCACTGCAGGTGGTGACTTCACCAGCTACACTACAGTGCCAACCCCACAGGTACGTTTTTTCTAGGAAATGGTCTTATTAGTGACAGTTGGGCCCAGGCTCATCCTGAACCAGATGAGCTGTACCACTGTCAGCCACATTCTGGGTCAAGTGGCATTTCTGGACCCACTTAACATTTTTCTCCGAGAAAAAGATACATTTGGATTCCAAACAATCAAGTTCTATAGGAACCCTAGAAATAGCAAGCTTCCAAACTGGGAACTGGCCCTGGAGATGTATTTAGGTAACACAGAGCAGGAAAATGAAGGGATGAGGACAGGCTGGGCCTGCTCAGAGAAATCTCCAGGGTTGGCGCGGTGGCATAGCGAGTTAAGCTGCCACCTACGGTGCCAGCATCCCATATGGGTGCCAGTTCAAGTCCCGGCTGCTCCACTTCCAATCCAGCTCTCTGCTATGGCCTGGAAAAACAGTAGAAGATGGCCCAAGTCCTTGGGCCCCTGCACCTGCGTGGGAGACCTGGAAGAAGCTCCTGGATCCTGGCTTTGGATCAGTGCAGCTCCAGCCGTTGTGGCCATTTGGGGAGTGAACCAGTGGATGGAAGACCTCTCTCTTGCTCTACCTCTACCTCTCTGTAATTCTGCCTTTCAAATAAATAAATAAATAAATATTGTTAAAAAGAAAAATTTCCAAGAGTATGAAAAGGAGGGCAAGTCAGAAGAACCTGGGCTAAATCCAACTCTGTGAGTTACTGGCTTGGGCCCTTGCCTGCTTTCTCTACTCACCCTCAGATTCTTCTCTTTAGCAAAAGAGCAGCACAGTTTTTATCTCACCAAGTTGTAGCAGTAGTACCATATGGCCTGGCACTTGATGCTCTCTGAACATGGGCATTGTGATCTTTTCTAGTTACATTTTCAAATGTAAATTTAAATTATTTTCATTGTATTTGAGAGAGAGAGAGAGAGAGAGAGAGAGAATGAATGTTCCATCCACTGGTTCACGCCCCAAATGCCCGACAACCCAGGGTGGGCCAGCTTGAAGCCAGGAGCTTGGAACTCCATCCTGGACTCCCTTAAGTGTGGCAGGCCCATCATCTGCTGCTTCCCTGCATTAAATAGCAGGGAGCTGAATGGGGATACAGGGTGTGTGTGTGGGGGGGGGGGGCTTAAGCCATTGCTCCAAATGCACAGCCCTGTAATGTTTTCCAAATAAGAGTCTTTCCGGTCAGTGTTGACAAGGTCCGTGAGCTTGTTGGAGGGCTGGCATTCCCTAAACAGCGGCTCCCGCGTGGAGACCAAAAGGGGGCGCCCGAGCAGCGGCAGGGGCGAGGGGGCAGGTTGGCTGTGTCTGCAGACACTGGCTGCCCGTCCTCCCTTCCTCCCCTTCCTCCTCCTCCGCCCCCCCCTTCTCCACCTCCGCCTCCCCCACCCACCTCGGCTCTGGTCGGTCGCTCTGCTCCGGGCAGTCCCAGGCTTTATCGCTTAGCCGTCTGAACTCTGGCCTTTTCTCTTTGTTTACCTATTTGGCTGGCTTTCTCCTCTGGGAACAAAGAAGGTGTTCAATTCTGGGCAATGCCCAGCTTCGGCACCGCACCCCCGCTCCCGCCCCCTTTCCGAGGAGGGTGTGGGGGGGCTGCCCCTGTCTCAGACTCCTGGATCCTGAGAGGCCCCTTCCCACGGTGCCAGGGAGCTGAGGGTCTGAGCCGTTTGGCTGACACCCGTATTTTCCTCCAGCTCTGGCCCCATTCCTGTCCCCAGCGGAGGCCCCGAAGCTCCACTTGGCTGGGCTGGAGACAGCGCCTCTCTCCCCGTTTTCGGGCCAGGATTTGGAAGCTCTGGTTTCCATAGCAACTCTGGGCATTTCATTAAGGGAGGAGGCCTTCAGATCTTCTGGGCTGGGCCGGTCCAAATCTCAGCCGGGCCAGGAAGGGTACCCTGACCACGGTTCCGTGTCCATTTTGGCTTTCCCAAGCCACCCCTGACACCTCCCAGCCCACCTCACACCTGAGTGCCTGCCCCAGACCTCTCAAACCAGCCAGAGCAACCCCAGGTCTGAGGACCAGGATGTTTCCATCCTGAGCCACTCCCACCTTTCGTTTCTGGACTACAGGCCTAGGGCTAAGGGCAGGGGATAGCCCATTTTTTGGGCCTGCCTCCAACTTCACTGCGCAGTGTGGTTATGCTGAACTTGAAGGGGAAGTGTGTTGCACAAGGTCATTATGTTCAGCAGTTCCTCAGAAGCCATCTGTGATCTCAGGCTTCAAAACACTGCCGTTTGCTGGCTGGGAGACCTTAGGCAGATTCCTGCACCTCTCCAGCCCTCCCTATCCTCATCTGTGAAATGGGTATAACACCACTTCGCAGAATGGTTGGCATCTGAGAGCACTTGGGAAAGAGTGTTGTTGCCTGTTGCTGCTGTTAACTCTTCTGAGAGGTGGCTGCAGGGAGAGCCCCTTCCCCCACTGCTGCCTTGAACAGGCTGGGGGATTGCCCTTGGCATCCACCTGCGTCCTGTCCTGCCCTGCCCAGGCTGCTGGAAAGTGCTCCAGACCTGGATTGGAAGTTGGCAGCTTTTGCGAGAGCCACGTCAGGGGCTGGAATTTCCAAGTTCAGGTCCCAGTTCCTGAAATTCCTGTCTCGCATTAGCTGTTGCTGTGATCACTTTCCCCCATTTCTGGCTAGGTTGGTGTGTATGTGTATTTTCTTTTCATTGTATTTTTAGACTTCGGAAAAAATAAACACAGTTCCCACACCAGCACCTTCCTGATCTTTTGGTTCTTGGTGGGTGTGGGAATGGGGCCCCTTCCCCCTTCCCCTCCCCCACATTCCTACCTTCTGCTGAAAATTCCCGGATTTATCCCACCTACCTCCCATCACTGCCCCTCCCATCCCTGAGCACTGATATCTGAAGAGCATAGCTCGGTTCTGAATTGTATCCTTGGGGTCTTTTATCCTTTTTTATGTTTTTTATCTTGTTTCCTGCCTTCTAGAAACTTCTCCCCTACCCTGCATTCCTGGCTGCGGCATTTCCCCCTGGCTTCAGCCAAGGCAGCTCCATCCCTGCAGGTCTGGGCTGTCCCACACAGCACTCAGATTCCAAGGATGAGCAGCACAGAGAGATGAACCCAGGACCCTGCACCCTACCAGTTAAAAAGATAGTATTTAAAAGGTAGGCTTTTAGCCTAGCAAGGTGCCAACCAACATCTGGGGGCCGACATGGTGGTACAGCAGATTAAATGGCTGCCTGAGTCACAGGTATCCTATATAAGCATTGGTTCAAGTCCTGGCTGCTCCACTTCTGAGCCAGCTCCCTACTAATATGCCTAAGAAAGCAGTGGATGATGGCCCCCACCTGCTTAGGAAACTTGGACTGGATGGAGTTCCTGGCTCCTGGCTGTTGTGGTCACTGGGGAGTGAACCAGCAAATGGAAGATTCTCTCTCTCTCTCTCTCTCTCCCTCCCTCTCTGTAACTCTGCCTTTCAAGTAAATAAATAAATCTTTGAAAAAGGAAAAAATAAAAAGATGCCCACATTGCATGTCACGGAGCCTGGGTTCAGATTCTGGCTTTCCTCCTGATTTCAGTTCCTGGGAGGCAGCAGGCGTGAGGGTTCAAATACTTGGGTACCTGCGATCCTCAAAGGAGACCCAGCTTGAGTTCCCAGCTCCTCACCGTTGTGGGCATTTGGGGACTAGAACAGCGGATGGGAACTCATGCGCTCTTGCTCTTTCTCTCCCAACCTCTCCCTCTCCCTGTCTCTCAATTTTTTATTTATTTTATTTTATTGACAGGCAGAGTTAGACAGTGAGAGAGGGAGACAGAAAGAAAGGTCTTCCTTCCGTTGGTTCACTCCCCAAATGGCCGCTACGGCCAGCACGCTGCGCCGATCCGAAGCCAGGAGCCAGGTGCTTCCTCCTGGTCTCCCATGCGGGTGCAGGGCCCAAGCACTTGGGCCATCCTCCACTGCCTTCCCGGGCCACAGCAGAGAGCTGGACTGGAAGAGGAGCAACCGGGACTAGTACCGGATTAGAACCCGGAGTGCCGGCGCCGCAGCGCTGGCCCCTGTCTCTCAATTTAAAAAGCAAATAAAACAAAAAACAAACAGGGGTCAGTGCTGTGGCGTAATGGGTAAAGCTGCTGCTAGCAGTGCTGGCATCCCATATAGGTGCTGGTTCCAGTCCCGGCTATTCCACTTCCAATCCAGCTCTCTGCTATGGCCTGGGAAAGCAGTAGAAGATGGCCCAAGTCCTTTGACCCCTGCACCGGCGTGGGAGACCCAGAAGAAGCTCCTGACTCCTGGCTTCAGACCAACCCAGCTCTGGCCATTGTGGCCATCTGGGGAGTGAACCAGTGGATGGAAGACCTTTCTCTCCATCTCTCTCTCTGTCTATAGCTCTACCTCTCAACTAAATAAAATTTTAAAAATTACTAAATAAATAAAAAAGAACATCTTAAAAAAGAGATACAGAGGTGATAAAGGGAAGTGACAGAGGAGAGGTGTGGAACCAGCTTCGGGCACAGGAAATAAATTTGCATTTTCCTGGAGAGTGCTGTGTGAGGAAAGACAGTCAAGGGGTCAGTCTCTGGTGAGTCTTGTCTCCTTCAGGGGAGAGGAGGTGCTGGGCGTGGGCGGACTGAGGCTGGTTATTGGAAGGATGTCACAGCTGTGCCAACCCAGGCTGCTGGCTGGGGAAATCCGGAGTCCCTGCTAGGAAGCTGAAACTCCCAGAGGCTGTGGCTTGTCCAAGGTCACAGGTAGCAAGTGCTGAGCCCGGGGCTCACAACACCTGCAGCCCCTGTGCTGCCTGCACTGGGTGGTCAGGAGCCCCAGGGAGTCAGGTGGGATGCCCAGTCAGGTTTCAGACTTCTAATCCCCGTCAGCCTTCCTGGAATAATTCTCGTCCTTCCCACTGGAGACTTAAAGACTCAGAGTGATTCTCCCAAGGTTGCACAACTAGTAATTGGTAGGGTCAGGCTTCAAACTCCGGGCAGCATAGCCAGAGCCTGCACTCCCCCACCTGTCACGGTTTCTGGATTGGACCTGGCTGGTTCCCCAGCCAGAGCCTCAGGGCTCTCCCACTCCCACAGGACTGAGGACTGGGGACTGAGCGAGTGGAAGGCGGGAAGCCCTTGAGCACTCTGGCGGCACACGGTCTGGGCTCTCTTCACTGGGTCTGCCTGCCGCCTGCCGTCCGTGATTAGTTCTGTGCCAAGGTTAATGCTCTTGGCCTTCAGCAACCTGAAGCAAGGCCCTTCCTCAATATCGGTCCTCTGTGGGTCCTCAGGATTACAGGAAAACAAGTGACTGCCTAGTGAGGCTTGCCCCAGGGCACTGTGGGAAAGTCTCAATGCTGAAGGTGGTGCAGGCTCCCGGATCCACCCAGAAATGCAAATCTGCCTTTTGGATCTTGGGAAAAACTCACCCTAACGAAGAAATAATTCCAGTTAGAAGTTTGCTGCTTTGGGTTCCAGTCTCTTTTCTTTTTTAAAAGATTGATTTATTTACTTGAAAGGCAGAAATACAGAGGGGAGAGAGAGAGAGAAAAAGTAAGTAAGTTTGTGGAGAGGCAGGTGTTTGGGGCAGCGGCTTAAATCCCTTCTGGGGACTGCAATACCTTACATTGGAGTCCCTCTGCTTCCAATCCAGCTTCCTACTAATGCACATCTTGGGAAGTGGCAGATGACAGCTCAAGTACTTTGGTCCCTGCCACTCATGCGGGAGACCTGGATTGATTTCTGGACTTCTAGCTTTAGACTGATCCAGCCTTGGCTCTTGCTGGTGTGAATCAGAAGATGGGAGCTTTCTGTCTCTCTGCTTCTCAAATAAGTCAGTGTCAATCACGTACAAAATTTTAAGAGATTCTGCTTGCTGATAACATCCAATCCAGAACAAAGCTGTACCTCATTGGCCCCTCGACCAGATCACCAGGTCTAAGTCCAGCTCTCACTCTTTCCTAACCCCTTTCACTGTACTCGTTTTGAAAGGAATCAATAAACCCAGTGTTGTTCAGCAACAGGTGTCTGCCATGGTCTTTGGCTACAGAGCACTGACAGTCAAGATCAACATGTACGTATTCTCTTTGTTAATTTCAAATTTCCACAAACTTTTTTTAAAGATTTTATTTATTTGAGAGGCGGAGTTACAGACAGAGAGAGGGAGAGACAGAGAGAGAGGTCTTCCATCCACTGGTTCACTCCCCAAATGGCCACAATGGCAGGAGCTGGGCCCATCTGAAGCCAGGAACCAGGAGCAGCTTCTGGGTCTCCCACATGGGTGCAGAGGCCCAAGAACCGGGCCATTTTCTACCACTTTCTCAGGCTGTAGCAGAGAGCTGGATCAGAAGTGGAGCAGCTGGATCTCGAATTGGTGCCCATGTAGGATGCTGGTGCAGAGGCTTAGCACCAGCCCCCATATATATTCTCTTAATACTATAAGCTCTTATATATCTTTGGACTTGAAGTGCATTCTATATGTTTGCCGCATAATTCCCTTCCTGAGTATGCTCTCCGCAAACTGCTCTACTCTCAACCCTGAAATCTT